GGTAGCAGACCTTTCTTCTCTAGTTTAAAAAGGAAATTCTTACGTATGTTTGGAACTTAAGCTGCTTTCAGGTGTCCAATGGAAAGAAACTGTGTACAGATGATCTGTAACAATTTACCTTTGATTGTCTTGTGTTCCCCCACCCTGTGAAGGCTGCAACTGGAAAGGCTGATTACCCATAGTTCATTGCAAGCTCAGCACTCAGTTCAACTAGGTTGAGTTTTGTATGTATCTGTTAATGCTTGTTACTTTTAACTAATCAAATCTTTTTACAGTATCCACGTATTATGTAATGGCTTCTTTAGGAAAAATCTTATAGTACATGTTAATATATGCAACCAATTAAAAATGTATAAATTAGTGTAAAATTCTTGAATTACATGTTTAAGTACTGAAACACAGGTCTAGGAAATGGAACAGGACACTTGTGGAGTGCGGTGTGCTAGCAACACAAGTCCAGATAGAGACAGTATTCTGTACAGTAGAAGCAAGAATTATGTAAACATTTTTATTGATTTAAGAGCCAAAAAGCTTCCTCAACTGGCAAAAAAAATTTTTTTTGTCTAGCTTCTTGTAGCTAAAACCCTTCAGAGGATGATTTGCATAACCTTGCACTCTGGATTATTGGACTTCAAAATTAAATACAGCTTTCAAGAACGATCATTGTGTGTGTTTGCCTTTCAACCCTTTCATGATTAGCGTTGCGACTATAAAGAGGAATCTAATACAAGGTGTCTGACTTTTGTAGGAAAAGCTCCATCTGGGTTGTGATGGTCATTCTGACTAGATGGCTAGGACTCTTCCTTTCTCTTTTTTCCTTCTGTCTTACTGTCCTTTAATATAGATTTTCTGGAATGGAAAAACTTGGCAACTTTGTTCCTGCCCTCTTCTTTGTTCTTGCATTTGTAGCTTTCTTAAATGGAGTACTTCTACTCTTTTCCAGAGGTCTACATTCTAGTACGTAGGCAGAGCTCTTCTGTAAAGAAACATGCCAATAAACTTAACAAGAACAAAACTACTTGCTCCGTTTCTAATTTCTGACTCCTAAGTGTAGCTCCTGAGCTAACTTAAGTCTGTTTTTGGTCCTTTGCCAGTTTTAACAAGCCAATTCTAATTAGTATGCCCTTGCATCTTAGAGGGACCATGGATGTATAATGAACACCAGCAAAGACTGGGAGAACTATGGTAGGTATAAGTACTATAGAATAATTGCCTCTTTATTTTTGACATTTTGACCTTGAGTCATTCTCTCAAATATATAAGTACATTATGGTAAACAACTAATATGTTCTTATTACAAGGACTAACAAATGCTAGCACGTCTCGTGATTATCACAAAACAGCATGGCTGTGCTCTTGATAGTTTCTGTATCAGTTGTTGATATCACCGTAGACTTTGCTAGCTGCATGTTGAAAAATTGTTCTGTGTCACCGGAACTATGAGAATGACTTGGTAGGACACGTAGCTCTTTCCACACCAGGAGAAACACACTTTGTTAAACATTTTGCAAAATAAATGTCTTGCTTACTTTGGAAGGATGGATTTAGCTGTACTATGGTAGAGCTGTTTGAACTATTTAGTGCCAAATGCTGTTAAGAGAATATCTCAAAGACCTAATGTTCCTAATATATTTTGAAAAGCATCAAGTATACTTTTAATGTTCAGACGCGCTCATCAATAGCTCTATTGATGTTTTTAAAGGTCCACTTAATTGTTGCAAGTTATAAGAAATATTAACCATTTCTGTATATTCTGATCCCATCTTCAGATTACTCCTGTCACCATATATGATCACAGTTAGCTATGGGTATATAGAAAGTAACACTGTTGGAAGAAAGTAAAACAAATCCTACCTCTGAGAGGGAAGCAGCAAACCTGCTTTACATTCTGTCTCAAAGGAACCCTTTTTTTACCGCTTGCCAGCTAGAGATGTGGCAACTTCGGACTTGGTTCTGAGTGTGGTTCAAGACCTGGTGTGAAGCATATGTAACTTGTAGCTAAAATTGGCCTCTGTGCCAGATGACTGGAAAGTAGCAAATGTTACCCCAAATTTTTCTGGAGTTGCCCAGAGGAGATTAAGGGAATTAAAGCCTAGTGAGCCCTAATATCTGTTACTGGAAAACAGTAGAAACCTAGAAATAATTATTAAGCACATCAAGGAACAATGCCCAGTGAGGGGGAATGAGCATGGCTTCCATAAAGGAAAGTCCTGCCTCACTAATATTTTGGAATCCTTTGAGCACATTAACAATCATGTGGATAAGAACGATCTGGTAGACATCATATACTTCCAAAAGGCTTTTGACAAGGAACCTGAGTAAACTTAGTAATCATGGGGTAAGAGAAAATGTCCTCTTATGGATTAATTTTTTGTTGAAGCAGAAAGTAGGAATAACTGGGCAGCTCTCAATTGCAGGAAATGAGCAGTGGGGTCCCACAAGAATTGGTATTGAGACCAGTGCTATTTCATTTGTATCGTTTGAAATTGGGTTGAACGGTGTAGTGGCCAGTTTGCAGATGATACCAGTTTTTCTGTATGGTGAAAACCACACTGAATCTTGGACTACGGAAAGATCTCTCTAAATCGGGTAAGTGGGCAGCAGTGTGGTAAATGACATTGCCCTGATCTGGATGGCCCAGGCTATCCCCAGTCTCATCAGATCTTGGAAACTAAGCAGGGTCAGCCATAGTTAGTATTTGGGCGGGAGACCGCCGAGGGATTCCAGGGTTGCCAAGCAGAGGAAGACCATGGCAAACCACTTGTTGATCTCTTGCCTTGGAAAACCTGCAGGGTCACCATCTTGGCTGCAACTTGACAGCACTTTGCACACAAACAGCGCACATTAGAACAAAAAAAATCCTAGTGTTAATTATATGGTGATGGGGTTTTAATTGGCTGGGATTGAGATTGAAAATTTTTTTTTGGAGTTGTAGTGGGAAGTTCAGTGAAAATAACCCAATGTGTAAGAGTGCTGAAAAAGGGAAACTCAGTGCTTGGGATTACCTGGATAAGGAATGAAAAGAGAATAGCCAGCATTTTAATGCCCTTGTCTAGAGTTATATTGTGGCCTCATATGGAATGATGTGCACAGTTCTAGTTGCTGTGCCTCAAAGGCTATTGAGCTGGACAAAGTGTAAAGGGGGCAACCAAAATGTCAAGAGGGGTCAACATACCTTTCCTATGAGGAAAGGCTGGAGAGTCTGAGACTGCTCAGTCTAGAAAAAAGTAGCTAGGGCAGGCATGATAGATGTTTATAAAATTATGAATGGGGTAGAAAGCGTGGATAGAACTTCTTCTCCCTCTCCTATAATACTAGAACTTGAGGGCATCCAATAAAGTTGTTGGGAAATACTTAACAAGTAATTAAACTTGAATTCACTGCCAGTGGAGGTAGTGACGGCTATGATGGTCTTAAAAGACTGATGGAGAAGAGGTCCATAAGTGACTACTAGCTATTGAAACTAGGGGTGTGCAAAAAAATCGGCCCGATTCGGATTCAGCCGATTCGGATTCGGCTGAATCGGGCAGAATCAATTTCGGCAGGCATAAAGACTCCTTCATGTCAATTTCGGAAGTAGGAGCCAATTCAGGATTCTTTAGGCCAGCCGAATGTCAGTTTCAGCCCCATTATATCCTATTGGCCATTGAAGTCAATGGTGAAAACATAGGGTATATACTGGGGGGTGGAGGGGAGGGGGTTTGAGGGAGAGACTCCAAACTCGCAGGGTAGCTGCTGGAGCCTCTCCCCAAGATACCAACCAAGTTTCAAGAACATTGGACAAGGGGGTGCAATTCTACGGGCCCTCGAACATGTTGCCCCTATCCCCTCCATTGTTCTCTATGGTGGGGGGAAACGTTACTTGCCGATGGTCAGTCTCAATCACCAGGATGGAGCTGTGAAGGACAGACAAATCGGCTCCACGGTCTGAGTGTGGACTTTCGACACTGGAAGACCAGGAGATCTCTGTCAAGTCCATATCGTGCTCAGAGTCCGTGAGCTGGATAGGACGCAGCGAAGGCAACTGAGGTACACCTTGTGGCTGCTGTCGGCACTGAGAGTCAAGTAAAGCAGCCCCCAATTACACAGTGGGAGTTTTCTTATGCTTTTTAAGCTTGACTGGTTGATCGTCCTTGCCTTCCCTGCATTTTTTGGAGGGAGTATGGGCTAAAGACTGAGATGTCTGGGCCGAGCATATCAGCATCGGGCGGTCGACATCGACGTGAGTTGATATCGGGAGCAGCACAGCTGTCGAGGCGGCAGTTGACATTGATGCATGCCCTGAAGTGTCCTGTGACGACATCAGTCAAAGCGCTAACTCCAAGAGTGCAACGTGAAGTCTAGCAGCTCTGTTCTTCCTTGTCTGCTTTGAAAACTTTGCGCAGTGAGCACAAGAGTTCACTTGGTGTGATTCCCCAAGGCACAAATGACAAACTGAGTGTCGGGGGGGGGGGCGACAATCGTGCTGCCGCACTAAAGGGACCATTCAAAGAAACCCCACCTCTTGGCCATAGGCTGGGAAGGGGGGGGGAGACACACACGATAGAGTCCGAAAAGAAATAAATCCATAGAAACAGTCATTTCACTTAGTAAAAATAAACAAGAAGAAAACGAGGAATAGGCCTAAAAGCCCAACATTTGTTTACCTACCAAAGCAGAGCCATGGCAGTCAGAAGAAAATTGGCGGGATTGTCATGCCCCTCCCTTGGTCATGCGCAGTGGGGCCGGTACATGACTGGGTAGCGGGCGTGAAAATCCTTTTCGCTTTCAAGAGGAACTGATCGAGGTCGGCATAGGCGCACTATATCCCAGAGGTGTGATGCACAGAGACCACAAAGAAGATCTATTCCTTATTAGAGATGGTTCAGCTACACCATTGATTAGACCTGGTAATAACCGTGAACTGAAGACTCATTACCTGAACCTAATCCATCAGGATCTGTTGTGCTGGTGATCTTCCTGCTGAGAATCCTTGACACATATTTGCTCTGATGAGAGGGGTCACAAAGTAATGAATATGCAAATCGCCCTTTACTACTTGCAAAAAGCAATTACACATGTTAAAGATTACCTGCTATTAAGAAACAGGCTCAATATTCACTATGCAATCACTGAATCATGCCTTCACTGGAGCACAAGAGACCACCCTTGAGATATGAGGAATGTGTACATTTTCCATGCTGTGAACTAGTGATTATCAAGCATAATAGGTTATATGTTAAATAATTGCAAAAGGGCTTTAGGAGGGAAAAAAACTTCTGAGGCCTTCAGCAGGTATCCTCCAGAGCTAGCAATGGTATAATCAGATGCTTATTTCAGTATTGCAAAAGAATTGTTTCCTGATTAAACTGAAGTGCACACTTGAGAAACAATACTGTTAAAAATGGATCTATTGCCAAACCTTTCTGGCAACACCAATACATTTGAGGTTGCTGAACTATCTTTAGACTTGGTGTTTGATGCCAGTTAACCCCCAACAGTCACTTGTAAACTGATCTTGATATGTGGGCTGTTTGGGGGGGGGGGAATGGATCTTGGATATTTCCCTACTACTATTTTAGAAAAACAAAACTGTTACTGAGGCTGCCAGTTATGGCAGTGGCAATACAAAGGTCATAATCTAATAGAACTGCTGTGGAAGTCAGCCTCCACTGATT